AAGAGAAATTGGAAGCTCTGGATAGAAAGGCCTGAGAATTTCCTGGGCTGGGATTAGAGAGGCAGTCCCAACAGATGGAGATGTGCCAGGAACTTCCTTGGTGACCTTTTGATACTCCCATAGCCAGTATTTCAAACTATGGATCTGCTTATGCTCTGAGGCATAAATTCGGTTTCCAAAAGCATCTTAGAACATCTGCCTTGATTTTTAAACTTCCTTGTGTAAATAGCAGTGTTTAATGAAGCACTTACATTTGTATTGCTGAGCAGATACGCATGTCTTTTAAAAGAAAAGGGGGAAAAAAACCTCATCGTCCTTCTGCTTCATCTGTAAAGTAAGATAATAATTGTTTCATCAAGACTGCTGCTTAAATCCATGCTAGCAGCAAAACAGATCAGATGTCATATGATGTGCAGTAAGACAATAAGAGATGTAGGAAGAGAAATGTAGTCTGAGAAACAGTCAGAAATTGTCCTTATTTAGCATCAGTCATTCAGTAAGTATATTGCAATGGTTCTGGCCACACAGCAGCTATTTGCAGAACAAAGGCCACGTGTGCCTGTTTATGATATGGGAATAGTAACATGGGATTTGAACCATGTCACTGAACACTGTTGACTTCTGAGAGGATTTGAGCCAGGAAGTGAAATCTTCTCTTATTAGAAAATGATTCCACAGGGAGCTATGGTGAAGTAACGTATCCAAACACAACTCCTACATGCGACGATGACTATTATATTTAGTTAGGTATTTGCAGTCCATTTCATGTATTTGTTGGAGGTCTTTTATGGAGCTTTGAGTGTCACGCTGAATCTTGAAGACGTTTGCAGCTTTAATGATTTAATATTAAAGCAATAAATGAACTGTGACTGGAAATCTAAAGTATGTATAAAAACAAAATCTTTTTCCTGTAGAAAAACTGTCACTGCTCTGCATTTCTCAGAAGATGGCTTAAGTGCACATAAAGTATATGTGTGCATATTAAATTTGTCAGAGGTCTATACTTCATGTTTCCATTTTTATTGCTTTTGATTGAATTCAAGAACTTTTCATGACTTAAGTTTTAATTTGTTTCAGTGGCTAAGTAGCAGTTCATTCTGCTTTAACAAGTCCTTACCATCTGCTGCAGTAACGGTGAACCAGCATTGCAGTCTTACTGTGTTGACAGCTAACTTAGGACTATTTGGAAACTGGTGAATTGTTTAAATAAATATTCTGCTTCCTATGGGTGACCCATTGAAATTCTTTTCATCACTTGTAATTTATCCAGTGGTAAGGCTGGACTGAGTTGACGTTGCATGAATTAGCTGTGAAACCTCTGTCACAGTTGCACAGTGCTTCAGGGATGTGACGGCAGGGAGATGGTCAGGTGAATGGACTGCAGCCAGGTGGTAGTGCAGAAAAAGGAGGAAATACGTGTTTCTTTGTTGAGGTATTTATTGAAGGTATGCTGTGGGTGATCAGATATGACATGACTGATTCCCAAATATTAATGTTTATCTTCAATGCTATTTGAGGATGGAAATGAACATGTAACATTTGTTCACTAAGAAAACTTCATTGTCTGCTCTGGAAGGGAAGGAATTATGAGGGCTGCTCTGAAAGCAAAGCTTTCTATTTTATTATGTTGGCCTATGATGTCAGAGGTAGATGCTGGTGGGATGACAATAAAGGTTAAACCTTTCCACCAACATTCCTTCCACTCCGTTTTGTTGCTGTGTGACAGATGGCAGTGTCACACAGGAAGGAAGGAAGTGTGTGTGAGGTAAAGATGTCTCATTGGATTTTTCCATGCAAAATAAACAGCACCTGCCCTTAAACACTAGCTGAATATTTCTGGTGACCAAACAGGTGATGTGAGTACAGTGACCACAGTGCAAACAAAATCTGCGTAGGTAGATCCCACAAATGCTCACATAGGATCAGAAGAAACACCATATGCAAGTTCCTCAGTGCTTATTGAACCAATGTGAGGTTGAAGGTGGCAGTTTCCTGGTTCACATCATTTCTGATGATGAGATGTGGTGGTAACAATATGAGTCTGAGTCAAAACAGCCATCCATGGAGTAAAATGTGAATTCCCCGTTGAAGAAAAGTTCAAGATATGGCCCTCAGCAGGTAAAGTGATGTGCACTGCCTTTTGGGATTGCAAAGGTGTGATTCTTCTGGATTTCCTTGAACCCAGACAAACCATTCACTCTGACCACTGCCACATGACACTGCCTAAGCCAATGGAATTATGTTTATCATATTTTGTCAAACTATGTCTAACCTTCTAATTTAAGTAATGCTACAGTAAATGTAAATGAGGCTGGAGATATTTGATGTAAAATTAACTGGGTAAGAATTAACTCCTGCTTCTTGCAGTATCTCATGTTGAAGTTAGCTGAACTTTTCTCTTTGCTTTTACTGGGCTTAAATACACTAAGTCTTCCTGCTTTGTGTCACACATTCATTGCCAACTTTTTATGTGCAAAGAGAAAAATGCATCTGGCACTTAGACTCAGCGTCTTATTCAAAGTCTTGTGTCAAAATGGAGGCAAACCTAAGGTGCCACAGGGCCAATAGCTAGGTATGCTGGAGATGGAAACAGATGTCTGCAACTCGGCTTTGGAATGGGGAAGATGCATTTCAAGCTACAAATGTAGACATGGAATGCTGACAAAGTAGGAGAATATTCACAATTTAAAAATGAATTTGATTTGTTTGTGTGTGAGTAATGCACGTGGTACATACATATATGGTACACAGAACATAAGTATATATTTTTATATTACAACAGGTTTTTTTGTGTGTGATTCTAGCTGTCCCATCCTCAGCTTTATAACGTTGTTTACCCACAGTTAAGAGTATGTTAGAATGTAATTATAACTATTTGCCATGACTGGCTGTTAGAATGAGAGACCAGGCAATTTGCATCTCATATATCCAGAAATTAAAAGTGAAGGACTGACCACTTGACACCATTGTAGTTTTTGAAATAAAGCCTGCTGAGCTCAATTTGTTGTGGCTGCTAAATGACTCTGCTCACCAGTATGAATACATGATGAAATTCCTGTTAGAAGATGGCATTGTAGTAATTGATGGCATAATGAAAGTGCCAGAGACTGAACAGAAATACTGTTCTGTTAACCTCTTATTTCACAGGTTCAAAGTAGACTTTTTGACGTACACAATATTTTTTCTGCTTTTTTTTTTTTCTTTTTCTGATTCTGAGGGCTGATCAGAGCTGTGTTAATTTTGGTCTTTCAACACGTTGTTCAGAACCATACACTGCATTCTGTGGATAATTGTTTTTGCACTGTAGACAGTAACTGCTTTTTCATTTCACAGCTGTACAAAAAGGAGAATGAATATTGGTAGTAAGTGATTGCATTACAGGCAATTACAGGTGGGAAATGCAAAGTCTCCACCATCTTAGAAAATAAAAAACCCTCACCTCTGCTTCTGTGTGGAAACTATTTTGGATTTTGGAATTCATGGAACAAATCCCAGCTGTGTCTAATTATTTATTATCAGTATCCTCTTAATTCTCACTCTAGGATAAATTTCCATTTATATACCTATACCAAACCTTGGATTTCTACCTGATTGCATCTTTCAAATAGCCACATTTAATATTCATTGAAATAGAACGTAGTCAAAGGCACTATTTGATAATAAGTCAACAGATATATTATTGCAAAAGAAGATCTTTCTATTAACAGTTTCTTCTTTTTCTTCCTATTTCTCAGAGTGATGCTCAGTGCAGATATGTACAGTAAAAGCCAATCCCACTCTTAAATTCTTTTGTAAAGCCCTAGCTTTTTTCTTTCTGTATAACACTGAGTGTCCTATATCTTCTGTATGTCTAATACATTAAAAAGTATAGGATTTAATGCTGTAATTATAAAAGCATAAAGGAAGAAGCCCATTGTGTGTACTTTAGACAGATTATCATCTTTACCTTTCCAAATATGTTCTATTATAGTAGCTGATTTCCTGAAGAGTTTTTTCATAGGCTAATATCTGGCTGAGAGTGGCTCTTACACACTAGAATATGAATAAGTTATTTCCGTAGCTCTAGCACATTTTTTTTCTATTTTTGTCTTAAGCATTCCTTTTTCCTAAAAGCATTAGTTTGCTGCTGAAGCAGAAAATATGAAAAGAGGCTATATTGAGTATTCCTGTTTGAAAGAAGGCATCTCATTCAGGTCAGAGAAGAGCTGCAGCAGTGTCTTTTCTCTGAGCAATGGATGTTGCAACTACTAATCAGCTTGAGTATCAACGTGTTTTGTTTTTTTGTTGTTGGTTTTTTTTTTTTTTTTTTTTTTGTTTTGTTTTTGTTTTGTTTTTTTTTTTTCCTCAGAGAAGTCTATTAAGCTGTTTTTAATGTTATCAAAAATTCATTTTCTGTATGGGGAGGCTTTAACTGTTTCAGGTCTTGCATATTTTTACATGGCTCTCTTTCAAGAGGTGGTATTTATATAATGACAATATTTTCTCATTTGTTAGTCAATTCTGGAAACCATTAGAGAGGCTCAGGAGGTGTTTTTCTTGTAGTGAGGGAAATATTTTTTTGATTTCACACAAAAAGCTGTTGGAATAAGATGTAATATAGAAACACCCAGAGAGAGCAAAAAGTGAGTAAGAAGAGAGAAGCTGGCGTTTTGCATTCCCCTTCACACGGTAAAGAATAAACCAAGGGAGCAAAGGAGAGAATAATGATCAGGGAATATCTCAGTGGTAACCACCTTAAAATAAATGAATGCATCCTACTGAACAGTGGATTTTGGATTCGTGCTGTATTGATATCTGGAAGTAGTAAAACTATACTATGATTGGGGAAGGGGTTAACCTTGCTCAACAAACAAAGTGAATTGACTAGCTGCCAAGGCCATGTACTTCACCAAGGGATCTAACCCTACAAAGAGTGGCTGTCATGGGATTATGAATTTTACACTGTCTTCAATTTGTTGTATTGACTTTTTTTTTTTTTTTTGAATTATTTTCCTTCGCAGAACACGTGAATAAATCTACCTAGAGAGAAAACTGAACATCCAGACTGGTCTTCCGCAGCAGCTGCCGAAGGTCAGCAGATACTTTTCAAACTGTAAGGAGAAAAAGAAATCTAATGTGTTCCTCAAAATATCAGACTACTTGGATCAAAGTAGTTACTTGGAGTAATGTTTTATATCTCTTTCTACTGAAGTTGATGAAAGATTTCTCACTGATGGGATTCTTAAGTGCAGCTTTTCAAAACGTTCAGGTATCTGATGCTCATAAAACTGGAAGTATGTTAAGCATTCGGATGAATCTCAATGTGTTTGTGAATGAACAAGTTCTTGGAAATGAACAGCTTTAGGTGCAGTGGTTATTTATACCCAAAGACTGCATATGAGAAAGAGCATAGCTGAGAGAGTTTGTCTGAGGTCTTCCACCTGGAGATTTATCTCTGGGAAAAATGCCACACTCCTCAGTCATAGGCATGCCAGTGCTCAGGCTTGGCAGCGTGCTTTAAGAAGCTGTCTGAATTGTTCTATCTCACTGCTTGTTCAGTGTCCTTCAGCCACTGCAGTAACTGACATCTGAATCTTTTATTTATAACTGTAATTCAGTATCTATGGTGTTCCAGCAGCCCTGTTTTTTGTCCAGCAGCTCCTTTTTTTTTTTACCAAGTTACAATTAATGCAGAGTAAGAGCGGTGTAGGTTACTGCTAGCCTGCAAGCAAACTTTGGTCCTTGATATAGATTTTAAAAGGTTTTTTTAATTAGTTTTTTGAATGGTGTTCTGTTTAAAAGTGGATCTTAAGGTAGGCTTAACAGATGCACTGGGAAGGAAGGTGGAACCTAACTTTCAAGATTTTTGTTTGGGTGGTCAGATTCATGACTTATTTATCTTTCTGATCCTGTGAAGGCTGTAATTAAACCTGTCAGCATTTCTGAATGATTAAATGATAAACAAAATATTAGTATTAACAAAATAAGTATTAAGTAATAAGCATTAAGATAAATATTTTTCTATTACTTTGAGATTTTTGGATCCAGTATCTATATTTTTATATATATATATGTTTTTTCTTCACCTCCCTCTGCTATGCACAGAGCAGACAATAGTCTTTGTGCACATTAGAAAAGACTTTTTATTCAGGACAAAGTTAATCTTGCTGTAGTTAAAAGTGGATTACCAGACACGGAGCCCTCCCCATTGTTGGCTGGGAGTCAGTGTTTGTCTGGCAAAACTCTCTCCATTTTTTTCCCTCCTCTTTCTACTGATCTCTTGGGGTCCCTTCCTAGCTGTGAGCAGCGGCGTGCCAATTTCAATTAACATTTCCTTTAAAACAAATGTTATCATCTGCTTAGTGCTTGTGACTTTCTATTTCTAACAAGAATAACAGCAGAGTGAAGGACTATGGCTTCTTTTTTTCTTCTAGTGTGATGTCACTTCACCTTGGTGAACATCATTAACTATTAACCCATCTGTAGCATTTCTCCTACTTCCTTCTGACTTAAAGGTCAAACCAAGGCCTGAAGACTGAATTCTCTGTCTGAAGCAAGGGTATTTCCTTTTCCATAACAAATTGAGAGCCCAAGCCCATTGCCATTAGGATGATGGACTGCTTTTCCATTATGACTAACAGGCCAAAGTTTGCTCTCCAGTTTTTTGAGACCTGCAAACCTGTGAACAGTATGGCAGTGATGCTGATTACATCTGTGTGATTAAATTATCTTGTGAGATTGCTGATTTTTATCAGAGAAGAAGACAGCAAGACAGTTTTGTCAAGTTATCCTAAAGTGCAAATTTCTCTGCCACTGAAAAATTATTTTTAAAATCATTTTGGATTACTAGAAAAATACAGTTAACTGAAACATACCTCATTTAGCTCTTTTAGCCCCTTAAAAATGAAGAGATGTATGCTTAAATCTGAGTACTTTTGAATATTTTTTTTTTTTTACTTTTAATGTTTTCCCTCCTCTTACATTTGTTATTATAAGAAATTCATATCAAATATGGTCAACTCCCTGTTTTATTCTTCTTTTCCCACCCTTCTCTCCAAAGCTCTCCAATTTCACCTGAAATCGTTCCTCTCTTCTACTCCTGGCTCTTTTGTGAATATTTAGTCACATATCAAATACTGACTGACTTAAACAACTGTGACAGTCCAAGTAAGTGTGCATGCCCAAATGTTAAAGCCTGGAAAAAACAACCTAGACAAATAAACAGACCTTGGTCCATCACAAGTGCATACCAGGCTTTCTCCTGATTCTTTTTCATCCAGTTCTTTGTTTCCAATTCTTTTTGTCTTTAGTCGAAAGTAAAATGAAGTCTTAAGAACTTTTAGGAAAATGGCAGGGGGAGGGGAAGAGGTTTTAGTTGTACCTTGTGGGCAATTTAATCACTTGTGGTTTTTGTCCATTCATACTTTTCTAGTACTGAATTATGGTACTAAAGCTATCTGATACTGTAGCTTGCATCCAGGCATATCCAAACTGCCACATTATTAATGCTGAACCAGGTGTTTAAATTTACTACTGGGATTATTTCAGAAATAGAAATGGTGACTCTGCCAAACAGGAACCTGGGATCTGGTGCACGAGATACCAGAGTTGCACCCGGCCTTGGAACCTCTTCTTAACAGATGCGGTTTCCTGATGCTTTGGACAAGTTTGCCAAAGCACCAGCAATAAACAGATTAGAGAACATTTTCTGAAAATAAGACAAGTTAGCTTAGAATTGAGCCCATCTGAATTCACACCTGCCAGCATTCAAGGAGTGTGTTCTTTGTTGGCTGATGAGAGCCATATAGGTCTCAGAAGCTTTGGAAGAGGTAACCTAAAAAACATGTTTACTGCAGCTATGGAAGTGTTTTTAAGAAAGCTCTACTCTTCAGTTAAATCTTTAGACACTTTTGAGGGTCTCACTCTATTTAATAAATCTTGACGTTTTGCCTAATATACTTCACCTTTTTAAAAAAATTAGCATCTATCTCCATTGATGTATTCATAATTCTTTTATTCTAAATTCCTTTTAAGCTGCTCAAGGAAAGTTTTGTTTTATGTCACACTGGGAACAAGAATTATAGAGCAGTGAAGAGTGAAGGCTGTTATCTTATTCACATGACAAAGGCATATATTATTTATATTATAATACCCAAACTGCAGGAATTGATAGATGAGACCTATACAGTCGACTCGCAAGCAATACAAAACATCTTTTAAAAATAAACTACTTTTTGAGTGGTTAATTCAAAGTCGGATGGATTACTGCAAGATACTCTTTGTGATTATTTTTACTGTTGGGACTCAAACTACCTACATATATTTTCTCACTGAGACAGGAAAAGTCTTATTGCATTTATTTTTCCTTCTGTTTGGATGATTTAAAATCTGAAAAAGAGACTATTAGATCAATAATTTAGTGCAGTCAGATGAAAAGTGTCTTCACTTGTTGATTCAGTGGTAGGATATTATGGAATTTTGCACACTGAATGGCTGCATTTAGATTGTATAATCCATATTCAAAATAACTTCTAGTGGAGGGGAAATTGGCCATTGTGGATGAAATTAACATTTATGTCTGCTGCTTTTATGCTATATAGAAAGATTGGGTCAGCATGAAGGAATACTGCAGAATTATTCCTCATACAGATGAGTTGGTGAACTCTGCTTGTTGACATTATAGACACAATATTGGCAGTTTTTCTTTCAAGTAATTTATTTTCAACCACAGTAAAGAACATAAAAACAGTGTAAAATTATGTCTGTCACAGAGGAATTTGAGAAAAATTTGCTATATTAGGCTTAGTCCCCTGAAATATTCTCAGTGGATGACCTTATTAATGATTTAGATGGAGATTAGAAAACATCAGTGGTTTCACTGCAGTGATATAGCAGTGAGGGTATAAGTAATTTACTGTCTCTTGTGACCCTGAGAAGCAGCTAAACATCTTGCCTCATTCACAAATGATAATTTGACACCTTTGCTAGTAAGACTGCTTGTACCTTGCTAGGACTTCTGGAGCTGTGTGCTTGAGTGCTGCAGTTTTTCTTCGTTGCTTGCTCTGATAAGATTCAGACAACTTATGCTTATCTTTTTCAGAGACCAGCTAGTGATCTCTATCTTTGCTCCATTCCAGATTATTCTTTTTCTCTTTGCAGTTACAAAATGGAGGAATAATAAACGCATAATGTTTGTGCTTTCTGAAAACTACTGTTTCTCCTTTAATTATCAGAATACAGTACCTTTCTGATTCTCATTTTAAAGCTGTATTGCATTGAAACTTTGTGTTCCCAAAGGAAGAGCTGTTGCCTTTAAAATTTAACTGCTGAATTTGATTTATTTATAAAAGGACAGCTGCACTGTCACTATCTGCCACTTGTCAGTGCCCCATGTTTGTGGATTTTTAGTAATCTGGCTTTATTACTAAAGGACAAAGGTGGTAAGAACAGTTCTGACTGAACATTCTGTAAATCCTGTGTTTGAATAAATGATACGAATTAACGTGTGGTCCAATACAAACATAAGTGTGCAAGATTCGTTTTGCCATAATGACTGAAGAGATGACAAGGGTGTTGTTGAAGCTGTTGTTGAGATACTCGGCACTTGCTTTCAACATACTGTGTGTTAACTTTGATTACAGCTGTTAAATTATTTTCCTCCTCCTCCCTTCAATCTCCTTTCTCTCAACTGGAGAAAATTTTTCTTAATACTTACAAAATTTCTGTCGTGCCCCAAAGATGTAACTTGTAAAAAATCATAGCATATACTCTATTTTCTCAGCATTGAACTCAGAGATGAACATGACTGAAAAATCAATAATGTGCTTGGCCTGCGGCCTTGTCATTTATTGATTTACATGTCGTTTATCTCTATACAAAATGCAATTATTGCTTAAATACAATACAGTATTTTGCTAATAGGATACAAATGTCACCACTGAATAAAAAGGTCACACTTGCATGTAAATGATTGTCAACCCAGTCTCAAGCTTGTTGCTGCTGTTATTTGAAGAGGTTGTTAAGGCACTGGAGACCCAGGTTTGTTTTTGTAGATATCAGTGGGTGCTCACCTTTTATTTGTGTCATCAATGTTCCAATTTTTTGGCCTTGTATTTGTGTTTTGTGCTTGTGAAATGGTATGCATTGTATAAATGCAGATCACAAGTAGAGGATTTGCAAGATGTGATGCAGGAGCGGTGATGGTGCAAGCGTTCCATTATTGGTGCATGTCTGGGAGAATTTGTTGTGGCTTCCTCAAGACCTGTCTTGAATTCCCTGTGATCTGAGCAGTACTGACAAAACCCTTATCCTTGGGAGCCCCTGAGAAGCTCCTGAGAGGTAGAGTTCAGTGTTTGCACATTTCTTCTTTTTCTGTCATTGCTATGACTGCGACGGGTAGTCAGTGAGCGTTTGCTCCTTGACTGAAGAATCAAAGCAGAAGAGTCAAGTGTGCATGGACAAAAGAAGAAAAAATAAAAATAAAAAAGGAGAAGATAGAATGACTTGGAATATGTATTCTTACCTGTGTAAGTGGAAAGTAGGCCCTTAAACAATTCTTCCAAATACACTTGGAAATCTATAGCAAAAATGATTGTAGAAGAGATGCTGTCCTTCTAGCTTGCTTTGAATTTTTCATGGTGGTTGTTCTGTTAGAACATTGTAAAACTTTTAATAATTTATTGCATTAACTAACTTAGATAAGAAATCTCTCTGAAGTAGCACTGCAGTTTAAAATCTAGCAGATGAAAGCAAATGAAGTTAACAAAGTTGTTTTACAGTACTGTGCATCTACAGGTACAACTAATTTCATATCATTCATTCTGAGATCAAGTTTGTGGCTGACAACCTTTGGTAAAGTTGAAAACAGTACGATCAGCAAGTGAGGATATGCTATTTTTAACTGGCAACAGATATGTATGCTTTTTTTTTTCCCTTCTCTGTTTTTGGTTGCCATTGGAGGCATTTGGCTTGCATGGAGAAAAATGAGTTGATGTGCTAGAAGGGGGTCTGTTTTGTAGAACAATGACAGCAGCAATCCAAGGGATGAATCTCAGGTGGGTTTTTTTTTGTTGGTTTTTTTTTTCTGTGTTGTTGTATTTTGTTCTTATTAACAAACAATTAATTTGATATGTTAAAAGCCTCATCTCATTTGTAACTCTTTGTAAAGATGGTTTGTTAAAGAGCACTTCCTGGACTACTCTATAGGTACTGTGATGTTGCTTAATTACTAAAACCTGAAAATGGTGACCAGATCTTAGCATGTGCTCATCAAAAGGCTAGAAAAGGTTACACAGGAAAGCGTGGCAAGAAAGGTTTTCCAGTAATTTGTAGTGGTGATTTACACCATTTTGGACAGCATCAACACTGTCCAATGCTAGAGTAAAATTCTGTAGCCTCTTTCAGGCAACAAATCCACAGCATAAAGTTCAGCATACATTATTCCTTCACTACTTTTTTCAATGCAGAATTTTGCTTCAGTCCAAATAATGGAATTACCTTAGGATATGAGTGCAGTAGAACAGAAAAGAATCAAACCAAGACACTTTATTTGACTAAAGCCAAACACAGACATTTTGCTGTCTCTTGGAGTGCTGTACAAGTTTTTGAGCAATACTTTAGTCATTGATTTAAAAAATACTAACCCACTGCTTTGTACAGATTTAATATACATGAGATATATATCAAGGAAAAAAAAACTGTATTAGACAAGTACAACTCTCCAATTTCTCAACACTTAGCATAAATAATTGCTGCACTATGAAGATTTAAATGGGGATTGCCACTTCTATAATTAATTCTTTTTTGTTTCATCTTCCTTACTAATTGAAAATGGGCTTTCAATGCAGAATGCTTTGAAATTGTGTGAAGAGATAGAATTGGAAATGAACTTAATTAACTACAAACTGTCCAAATCAATCAGTGTTTTACAGTGCTTTTGTAATATACAGAGTTCATAATTTACTTGGGATTTGCCATAATACGTATGCCACAATTGCAAAGTAATCATGCTAAGAGAGTACAAAATTCAGTGTTGTGTTCTTGTGCTCTAATGGGATGAAATGTCTATACTTTCACACACCAAACTGGATTGGGGGCAAAAGGCTGTTTTTTTTCCATTAGCCAAACAGAGGACTTCTATAAATTAGGGCATTTCTCCAAGTCTGGCAGGGCTTTAATATGTTAATAGCTAGAGAGAAAAAATTCTTTGAATTCAATGTCCAGGCAATCTGGCATTTCAAATTGTAGTGTTTTTGCTACACCATCCATGATATTTGCAGCATGGAAACCATAAGCTTATAAGAAGATCAGGCAAAATAAATTCCCAAGCAAAGCTTTTCAAAATTTCTGTAGTTTTCCAGTGAGTTTTCATAGAGAAAAACAACAAAATCAAAGCTGTTAAACGGCTTGGCATATTATTTATTTCACTTGGTTGGGATTCTAGAAGCCCTCCAAAGTTGTGTGCCTGATCCACAGATCTCAGAGCTTTGATGCTTCGAAAGTTATTCCAGATTCTTGAATGGAATAGAAAGTTTTCCAGTGTTCTAAAAAATAGAATAGTTTTCTATAGTTTTCTTCAAACCCTTCTGCAACACAGGTTATGATAACAGCCTTGTTCTCAATCACTCATAAATAAACATAATATTTCTCACTGAGTAATACTTGAATAAAAATGTAGAGAGTGACTCTTGCGGTCCTTTAAAGCTCTGCTTTCCTCTGTGAATAGACCAGATTCTTCCTTCACCCTTTTTGAGTTGCTGGCTTCACCCATGAATGTTTTAGTTGCAGTGTCATGAGGAACTAACTTGTTTTTGCCACTTCTCTTGTTTCCTTTTATTTTTGTTTCTAGCAATGTTATATCCTTTCTTTTCAGTGGCAGTGTTTGGGCATCAATAAGGAGTCTCTGGTAAGAATTGTAACTGAATCTTTGGTGAAAAGGATGTTAAAATAATAAATGTTAGCTGAAGAAACTTGCGAAATATGAGAACATTATGTGACTTGTCCTAACAAATACAGGATTTGCTGACAAAATCTGTCCCTCCTAAATACTGCAGGGGCCTTTGCTAAAGAGTCAGAGATCCTTATCCTCTGGAGAAGTCCTTTTAACCATGACACAGCTGTTGATGATAATTGCAGGACATGAGGCTAACAGGAATCCTATTCATTGCTGAGTTCTGGCCTTTATCTCAGAAGACCTCAGAGATAATTTATTCCAACAACAGACTGTTTCCAGTTTATATGTGACTTACTTTTTTATTCCTGTCACCAGCACAATAACTGCTCAAATTTGATTGGTAGGAAAACCTTTTTTGCCTGTCTCAGAGAGTAAATGCTGAGAATATACCAGTAAACTGTAGCTGCACAATATGGCAGACAACACGTGGTTGTCCACGTTGAACTGTAACCTGGGAGAGTTTTGAATCTGTAATCTTATTTAAAATTGCAGTGTGATTTAGAGGAGAACATTTTAACGTCTGAGGTAATGAATAGCAGAAGGTGTGTAAACACACAGGTGAAATCAGTGACACAGTATTTCAGAGCATTTAGCAACTGATGTACATATTTGTATAAATACATTGACAATCCTCCAGCAGCCACATTAAGGCACCTATGCTTTATAGTTGGGAAAAAGAGGGGGAAAATAGCTAATGACTGGTTAAATCCCTCTGTACTTATCAAAGATCAATCACATCCTGGGAAAAAGGTGTTGTAACTTCAAATAAATTGGAGAGCTGTAGGGAAATTGCTTTTTATCTTTTTTGTTTGTTTTGTTTTGTTTTGTTTGTTTGTTTCCAGGATGCAGTTTTGGGGATGAGGTCTTTTTGTACCTCCTTTCAGGATCTGTAATTTTTCAGGGGGTCACAGTAAAGATGTCCTTTGCATCCAGTGTTCTAGAAAACTTCTTGCTTATTCCATGGAAGGATACACACTGTCCCTAGCATCTCACGAGAATGTCTCATTCTCTCTTTTCTTTTTTCCTTTCTGATAAAATACATTCTCTAATAATGTGTGTCAGGAAGATTTTGAAGCTCGAGGACTGGTGAGTATCACCCATTTAAAAGAAGGAGCATAAAGCTGGGCGCGAACAGAACTCCAGTTAGTATCTTTTTGTGTCAGTGACAGCTCTTTGCAGTACTTGTGTTGCTCTAGGCGCTGTAACCCGGCCTTGAAAATGCCCAGTTGAACAAGCTGGCTTCCAGTGATATAATAATGAGCTCTTCTCATTCTCCAGCCAAAGTCATTATGCTTGGGGTATTCCCTCCAGATGTTCACCGAAATGTGCTTCATGCTTCTTCTGCCAGCTAACCGTATGTCAGGAGCATATCCTTCGCCTGGCCCAGCAGGGATTTACTGGCAGGATGGAGTCTGAGAGAACTGGACTGGCTGGATGGAGCAGTTATGCAAGGAAAATGAGAAGCTAAATATCCAATAAATGTGATATAAAATGCTGTCCAGAGATTGGAGGTCAGAAGAGCCAGCAGGCACAGACGGGGTTGTGGGACTGCCAAAGACAACTGAGTGCGTTCAAGGTGTGTAATTCATACTTATGTACTAATCGCTTTGCAAGCTGTCTGGACTGGGAGGCCAGTGGCAGCTGAATGGACACATACCTGGGTCTGAGCCCAGCCTACGAGCTCAGAAAAGTTTCCTGGGAAGCAAGAACCAGCCACTTCCTGGATGGATGGTAAGGTGGCACTTGCTGTGATATGAGCAACAGACTGCTCGGTTATTAGAGACTGCCAGCTGTCCTCACTTTGAGTGTAGTGCTGCTGCCATCGCAAATAAACCAGGCCCTGCCCCTGACAGCAATAAGCCTGAAAACCTGAATATTTGGCATATTTAGAGTCATAAAGAACTAGGTCCCTATTCGCTACAGCATCGAGCAGAGTACTTAACTTGGACAGGTGAATGTTGCCACTGACAGTGCAGCTATTGAGCAGACATTTTGATGAACACACACCAAAGCACTGTTGTGCATGGAGAAGTTGCTATTGATTTAAGTAAGCTTACACCCATAAAGGATTTTTTCATCGCTTACTAAGAAACAAAGAGCAGTAGTTATAGATGCATTTCATCAGAAGAAGGTTATCGCTGGAAATCCTTTCGTCTAATGTATGAAAACAGACAAGGCTGCCTAAGCAGAACAAAACAAAAAGGCAGCTAATGCCCATGAAGCTTCCAGACAGTGCTTTTTAGTCCTTAGAGCTTTAGAAACAGATGAAGGGCAATTCAATTGCTCTTAATGATACTCCACTGAATACATGCTTTATTTCAAAAAGCCAACTGCTCTAAATGCCATTGACAAATGCAATCATAATGTACAAGTGTCAGTGTAAAACTACACAGCATTTCATATATTTTGAAGCTTGTAAACATCAAATAGTTCATTTTTTTTTTTTTTTTGTAAATAAAAAACAACCCACAAACAAAAAAAACCACCAAACCAAAAACCAAAGAAATCAAAGCAGATGGAGCTCAGCAATGATTTGTAGTATAATTTTAAAATTTATTTTTAATTACAGATTTGTTAGTGCAATATAATTTCAAAGAGCTGTAGTAGCTGGACTTTCTAATGGGTAAAGCTACACGGAAGTATGATACTTTGTGTTCAGAATAGATTGAAGTCTTGTATATTTCGCACTAAGCAGATGCCCTGAGGGGAGTTTTCACTTAAAAGAAATCTCTAGGATACAGCAATGTAGTTGTGAATGGTTTTGAATATGTTACTGTGTTGTATTCAGACACGGGGAAAAGCATGTTTATAGGTTTAAATATGAAGGTAATCTAAGTTATCTGCAGTCCATTCTAGATGAATCCATGTAATTTCAGAAACAAAATGAGAATTGTAGGTAGTATCCTCAGTAGCTGAGGTTTTAGGAAGAGCGTTCTGGGGATCAGCACAGATGTGGGTGCTGCAGAGGCCATAAACATTGCAACTCTTAGCACTCCTGCTGCATCATAACCACAAAAGAAGCTACTTCTCCACTGTTTGCGTTAGTGGAATTGTTCTGTGATAAAACAGGTTTCACTGGGACTTGTTACCTTTCTG